GTCGGACGCTTAACCGACTGCGCCACCCAGGCGCCCCGTAATTAGTGTTTTTAAATCTGACTAGTTTCTAGTCACACCCTGTCCAGGTAAGTGTAGGTGAGGTGAGTTCATCTCCTACGAAAGCACTAGTGTGAAATGGAGCCCAGTCTGTCTGGAAACACATTCTCCCACCACACTGGATTGAGAGCACTTCTAATACTCTCCCTTGCCAGCAACTTCATGAGCTGGACGCTCCCAAAGGCACACACCATTCAAAGATGGCAGCTGGCATGGATTACCACTTGAGCTGAGCAAAGATGACATCTTGCTATGGAAGGAGAGTGGAAATATTTGTTTTTACCCTTTGTGACCATCCAGGCATCCAGGCAGCTGGGCTGAAGAATATTAAATGAGCTAATGCACTGGCCTCCAATCAGAGTGGAAAGCCAGGACTTTTGTCCTCATGAGAAAGACGGTAAGACAGGCTTTAGGCCAAGGCAAAGCCTGCGTGTGAACAGACAAGAATGAGGCAAGTCCCGACTGAAATTACCTTCATCAGCGGAAGCTGTCAGATGGGAAGGCTTCAAAAAAGCGCTGTCAGCTTCCGGACACGAGGAGGCAGCCTTGGAGCTTGTGAACACAGACATCTGAGGAGACTTTCCTGGGAGCACTGCCTGCTCTCCCTTGGAGGTAAAAGAGAAGTTGCTGCTCTTGTCACCGGAGCCCCAGGCAGAGTCTGCAGTATCCTTGGACAGCGATGTCTCCACCATGGAGTCCCCAAGGGACGACGGTGAAGGGCCCAGGGAACAGGCGGTATCCCTTCCAAAGTGGTTCCCACCGTTCCCCGCTGTCGGCACCTGAGGGGGCAAATCCTGTAGCTGCTGCTGCGCACACTGGGGGTTAATCCAGGCAGCTCTGTGCCTCATGAACCTGACGTCTGATTTGCAAGGAGGCTGGTCAGTGTCCAGGAGACTGGGCGAATCCTCAACATCACCAGGGTCACTGCTGACCCCTTCCCAAGGGTGCACAGGAGAATCCTGCCGGCCCATAGACTGTGACACCATCTTTCCAGGCTCAGGGTGGCGTGAACTCCGTTGGACTACTGGATTAGGGCCTTGAACTCACCATGAGGCCAGCTGAGGTCCAGAGAGCTTACCTGCAACAAGCAAAAATCATTCGAGGTAAATAAGAACTCAGTCCTAGTTGTAAACTCCAAAATCTTTTGAGGAGAAGAAACAAAAAATAAGTTTGTACTTCGCTCTGTACCATACAGTAAATTCCACTTGGATTGACAAGAAATAAACAAACAAATCAGCAATAAAACTGGCCGCAAACCCACGAGGCATGACATCAGGATAGGAAAGGGTTTTCAGGGCATAAACGAGGACTGCTTTTATACAAGGACACAGTCATATAAGCAAACTGCTGATACGACAGATAACAGTGAAAGACAGCCGTGCATTCTTCCAACGAAATTCAATGTCAAACCCGAAATGGGAATACCATTCGGAAGTAAAGACACACTTTCACAGTTCCTTATTTTTGTTTAGTCTGTGCTTGTATTTCAACAAGGCAGACAAGCGGCATGTGAAACTGAGGGCAACTCACAGCACTAAAAACTTTGCTTTATGGGACTTAGTTTATGATAAGAGAGAAGCACCCTGGTCCCCGTAGTCACTGGCCCAGCCCGCGACTTTCTACTGCTCCCACTGTCCTTCACACTGGGAGGCTCCAAGCAGCCCTGGAAGCACAAGCAAGGTCAGCAAGAGGAAGAAATGAAAGTGGTCTGCTTCGGTGAGCTTAGCGTAAGGGGAGAGTGGAGAACAGGGCTACAAGGTGGTGAGCTGAGGCTTGGGAGTCAGTTGCAAGGCTGGCTTGCTTTATTTATTTATTATTTATTGAGAGAGAGAGAGAGAGAGACAGAGAGACAGGGTATAAGTGAGAGCGGGCCCGAGAGAGAGGGAGAGAGAGAGGGAGAGAGAGAGAAGCAGGGCTCATGCTCACCAGATGCAGGACTTGAACTCACAAACCATGAGATCATGACCTGAGCCAAAATCAGATGCTTAACTGACTGAGCCACCCCGGCACCCCAGTTCCAGGGCTTTAAATACCACCGTTATGTATCCAGATGGCCTGCACCTGGATCCCTACTCCTGACGCCCCCCCCCCCCCCCCCCCCCCCCCCCCCCGGCCCCGCCAAACTATGGGCTACGATATTTTATTGCCTATTTGACATTCATCCAGGGGGCACCACAACCTGACACATCCAAAACAGACCCTGATTTCGCCCAAGTCTGCTCCTCCCTAGTTTTCCCATCTCAGGAACCACACCTCCCAGGTGCTAAAGCCCCAACTCTGGAAGTCCTCTCTGATCCTATCTTTCCTTAGCTCTCCATCTTTAATCCATTAGCAAGTTCAGCTCTATAGCTACTGCCCTAATCTAAGTCACCATCTTCTCCCACCCGGGCCTCCTCCCATCTTTCCAGTGGGTTTTGCTGCTTCAACTCTGGCCAACTTACAATCAAGAGGTACGCAGAGAGAGATCTTTTTAAGTGTAAGTCACGGGGCACCTGGGTGGCTCGGTCGGTAGCTTCAGCTCAGGTTATGATCTCGTAGTTTATGAGTTCGAGCCCCACACGGTGCTCGCTGCTGTAAGCCTGTCAGAGCCGAGGTTGCTTTGGATCCTCTGTCCCCCTCTCTCCGCCCCTCCCTGGCTTGTGTGCTCCCAAAAATAAAATAAATATTTTAAAAAATAGGCGTAAATCAGATGTCATTCCCCTAATCACCATCCACCCCCCCACTAGCTTCCCATCAACTCTGAAAATAAAATCCAAAATCCTTACCTCGTCCTTAAGGCATGACATGATCCCATCCTGCAGACCTCTCTCACTTATCTCTGTCCACCCTCCCTAAGTCCCAACCACTCACTAAACTCTTACGTGCTACAAGCTCTCGCCCACCCTACTGCTGCTGTTCTAGTCCCTCTGCCTGGAACGTTCTTCCCCCAACTGATCATACATCTGGCTCCTTCCTGCCCTGTTGCATGCTTTGGTTTATCAATTACTTCCTCAAAGAAGTCTTTCTTAACCACCTCTCTTAAAGTAGTTCCCCAGTTACTCTCTATCACATCACCTTGCTTAATTTTCATCCTAGTAGTCTCACTTCCTCATTTATTTTTTTTCCACTCCTGTCACTCCCCTCCCCCCCCCCACAGTCCCCCTCTGCTGATAAGCTCCACAAGAACATGGGGCCTTGTCTGTTCTCTGCCAGGTCCAATGGTTGCACGTGGGACCTCAATAAACTTATGGACTGAAAGAGCAAATTCAACGGTGGAAATAACATCGTGAGCTAGAGAGAAGACTTCCGTGGTAGATACAACTGCTCTATTACTGTGACAGAATTGTTTGTACAAGGATAGAAGTGAATCCATGTTTCCTGAAGATATGACATTTTTCTCAACATCTACAAATAGACCAAAAGAAGGTACATGTGAAAACTGTACTAAATTCCTTGGGTTTTCTTGATGTGGGGGCCCTCCATCCTAGGTCAAACCTTTTGAAATAATGTATATATACATGCATATATATACGTATGTGTGCGTGTGTGTATATGGTATACATATAATACTGCACAATACTGTGTGAGCTCCAAATCACTGCTCACAAAATACCATGGGATGTGGTGGCAATTGTCAGAATTCATCTGAAGTGCTTCGTCCTCCCTCTCCAGACCTCAAATCTCACCTGGTGCCCCAATTTCTCTTTGTCACACGTCTTTTCCCCTCCAATAATTCCGAGTATCACAATTACAAATGGGAACCATGCCTGTGTTTTTATGAAACGGCAAAAACACAGAAGCCTAGAGTGGATGAAGCACTCACATTGTGCCAAACCTGCCAATCCTACCTCAGTCCCAGAAATGACATCGGTAACCACTTCATCCCTTCCAGACTTTTCCCTATGAATTAACATACATACGGCAGATCAGAAGATGTGTTTTCTTTTCCCTTTTATACGTACACATGAGCTCACACTGGACAAAATCTATAATGAAACTTATTTTTCTCTCAACAAGTTCTTGAGGGTGTATATCACTCAACTATCTTACCACTTTCTATAGTATAAAAGGATCATAATTTACTTCGCCAGACTATGGACGGGAACGTATTTTTAGTTTTTGGCAGTTATAAAATATATAGCGATGAGCAATTTTGTTCATGTTGCTTTTTATTAGTTTTCTTTCGCTAAACTTTTAGTTCTGAGTCCATAGCTCATGATAACGTCATTGTTTCCAAGAGAATGAAGCTGTATGAGTCATATTCTATGATCAATTCTTTACATGTCATAGCTGTTCTTGTGGGGGGGAAGATGATTACAGATGTGAAATCACATAAAAAAATGTACAGCCTCAAACCAATGACAAGTGGCAGGGATCCCTGTGTGTTTTACAAACAGATTAAAGACAACGGTTCACAAAGAATGATGTTCTTTATGAGCCTCCCAGATACGGAATTGACTTAGCGGCACTGAGCAAAAACAGACTTCCTTTTCAAAAGTGATTTCCAGAAGCGGTGCTTGCTCCACTTCCTTCTAGAAAGGTGTTCTTGTTTCACACAAACAACCAGCAGGTGTTGGCTTTTCCAGGTTATAAAACGAGCACATTTTAGAGCTGGGATGGGCCCATAGAGATTCAAAGCCATGTCTAAAGACACGGCAGAGAGAGGATGACAAGCCAGGTTGGACGGTCACTCGGGAGCATGAGCCTCTCTGAGAGGGAGACTGACACAGGAGAGAGCCATGGTTAGAAACAAAGCACTGGCCCTAGCCCCGGGGGTCCACATCGCCATTGCCTGATCTTTGGGGCAACAGATAATTCATGAAATACCATCATAGGGTGTTTTGGCTCACTGTCACCTTGCTTGTCGTCTGGTAATCAATTAAATATTTATTGAGCAGCTACTACATGACTGGCACTGTTTTTGTTTTGGAGGCGCTGGAGCAAAAGAAGTCCATGCTTCTTCCAATAGCTTACATTCCGGCAGAGGGAAGACAGTGACTGAACCTATACATTCATACATTTCAGTGCCGACGGCCGGCAGGTAGTATGGGTTTAAGCAGTGGTTGACATCTTCCCAAAATGCGTCCCATTGTGATAAATGACGTCCTTTGAATTAGCAAGGCTTAGGTACAAAGCTAAAATCTATTTCCAAAAACACTTAAAAAATTTTTTTAATGTTTATTTTTTTTAAGAGAGAGAGAGAGAGAGAGAGAGAGAGGCAGAATGAGAGCAGGGAAGGTACAGAGAGAGACACACACACAGGATCCAAAGCAGGCTCCAGGCTCCGAGCCGTCAGCATAGAGCCCGACATGGGGCTCGAACTCACGAACTGAGAGATCATGACCTGAGCCGAAGTCAGACGCTTAGCCGACTGAGCCACCCAGGCCCCCTTCCCAAAACGTTGTAAAGGAAGATTACGAAGCTTACCATCATTTCTACTGTGATTTTCCTGTTGAGGGTGAGCACAGGCCAGATTACCACTAGTTAACATATATGCGGCAGCAAAGGTCCTAGACAAAAGAGAGATTCCTGGACTCCCCCTGGCAAGTCATTCTAGATGGGTCTCTGCCCATCAAAGTCAGTGGTTCCATCACGAACGACTGCATAATGAGGACAAGCTCAGAGCCACAATACTCACTGCAGAGATGCAGCTTTTGCCAAAGGGATGGACGACTCGGTTGGGCATGAGCCACCGTGACCTCTACAGTGACCTCATAAACATCTTTCAGACCATAAGCAGCCAGAATTTTGATGCAGATGAGCAGTTTTCGCTCAAATACCCCTAACAATCTTAGAGTGACTCCATGAATAGACACAAGCATGTCAGATTTCGGATTTAGGATTTTCTCTGCCCCAGCACTAACTACCAACTATATACATGATTAGGAGCACTGAAGACTGATCTTAAAGGTTACCTCCTCAGTGAGGTCTCCATGGTCACCCTATGTCATGGCAACTGCCCCAGGCAGTAATTCCTCTCCCCCCACCCCCCGCCCCACTTCCCACCTCTGGTTTTCTCCTTACTCCTTGGCATTAATCCCCATTGTATTTAGCCTCAAACACGAACACCCACTAGAATGGAAAATCTCTGAGGGTAACTGTTTTTAAAAAAAATTGTACTCTGGACACTGCTTTGTTCCCAGAATCTAGAACAGGGGCACATGATAGGTGTTCAACCAAACATGCATTGAGTGTGAATACAATGAACGAATGAACAAACCAACAGTACCTAAGAATGGTTCTGCTGGTTATTTCTGTCGCCTAGGAAAGAAAATCGAGAACAGATGTCAACCTTTAGAAGAAGCTGGAGATCACGACCTAAAATTTCTGTTCAACTGTTTCCTTAGGATAAAGGAAGCTAGAGAACAGAAATCACAAACGAGAGTTGGGGTAAAGGGTAAAATTCGCTTATGCCCACTTTAAGGCGGCTTACTGAGCATGCTCAGTAATAACGAAATGCAGGTGAGCAAAGAGCATGGACGGTGTCTTGTTCACAAAGCTCCCCGGTCCTCTCCCCATCTTTCCGTATCTACTTCCCTTCATGCTCTGCGTTTGGACAAATCCCCACCCCCAAGGATGTTGAGAAACTCAAACCATCACTTATCAAACAGAAGGGCGACTGTTTTCGAGGCCCAGTAACGCGACTCCAGAGCTTCCACAACGCGGTCCGCAATCAGAGTCAACTGCCGTTTTCACACAGCTGCGCCCTCACCACAGCACATGCTGAACTCTGTGTTCGAACACTAACAGCACCAGGAAGGAAGCAGTGCTCTATTGCAATGGCATATAGCAACGAGGCTGGTGGCATCACATGGACTCCTCCCTGCCCGCCTGAACTTTGGCAGTGACCCTTAACTTGGAAGGTCCGCCGTCAGGAGAACACGGAGGAAGGACAGAAAGCAATTATGACAAATGCGTGGGGTAAGGTCCGCCGGGGAAGACCCCACGAAGGCAAAGACCAAGGAACACGAACCATGTGCCTGAGAAAACTGCAAGGTTGCCTAAGACACACAAATGACTAACTTCCTGTGGTCACCGCGTAGGTCACAGTGACCACTCTCACGGAGCGTTTCAGGTGGTATTATGCCAATTTGGGAACGGACGTAAAGAACGTTAGGGGGCTTGCCCAAGGCCTCACCACCAGTAATTTACCAGGAGAACAAAAAAACAAAAGTCTGACACCTGATCCAAGGCTCCTTCCACTCCTATTTATGTATATCACTGGGGCTGAAGTTGGGATATTTTCAATTTCGTTAGCAATGTAAATTTAAGAACGTTCCTATTAAATCTGTCACAAAACAAAGGATTAAGAACCACACCACTATATTTGATTCCATGTCTTTAGAACAGTTGTGCCCAGAATGTTATGATTACACCTATTTGTGTAAAAAACAAAAGTCATTGTACAAACAGCTCCAACATTTATTTATAAACCTTATAGAGGCACAGGGATACTAATATGTAATGTAAAAATTCATGAACATAACATTTTGTTCTTGCTTTCCAATAAATCATCTTGTAACCTAAAGGTACATACTACCACTCAAGTAATATTTTACTTAAAACCTTTTATATAAAAAACAGTAACAAACAGAGGCACCTGGGTGGCTCAGTTGGCTAAACGTCTGACGTCAGCTCTGGTCATGATCCCAAGGGTCGTGGGTTTGAGCCCCGCATCAGGCTCTGTGCTGACAGCTCAGAGCCTGGAGCCTGCTTCAGATTCTGTGTCTCCCTCTCTCTCTGCCCCTTCCTTGCTCATACTCTGTCTCTCCCTCTGTCTCAAAAATAAACAAACCATTAAAAAATATTTAAAAAAACAATAACAAACAAAAAATTACTTACACACGAACATCACATAACTGAATAAGAC